GAACAGCATTGCCCATGGCAAAACAGACTGATGTGTGAGCTCACAACAGCAACAAACGTGCAAACTTTGCATCTAATAGTGAGTCATATCTTTTGCAATGTCAGACCATATGTATATTAGCCCACACATGCGACAGATCGTTGATGATTGGAGATGTTCGACCGATCTTGCGATCAATGACTGATGCGGATTTTCTGAGAGTTAAGGGCGATGGGTAAGGCAAAACACAAGTTATTTAGGTTGATGATTGATAATGGCCTCCTTGTGTTTGCTTACCGGTCTTTTAATGCTTTAGATGCCTCATGTCAGTCCAATGATAATTTTTATGTTGTGCAAAGCACAGTGCGTTTGTTGTCTTTTCATATACTGAATCACGTTTAACGTTGCCTTTTCGTACAATTGCTAGATTTGTTTGAGAAAAAACTTTTTACGATAAACTTAATCAAACTGAGGGGGATTGAACATCTGAGTTTCTTCTTAACAGTTGCCTGTTATCGACCTGTACAACTGTTTGTGCACTTTCCCAACTTTCTTTGTCACAGAATTACTCATGAATCACACTGATATGTTACTCGAATCATGACGATGTAATTTTTTCAGGCCAGATTCTATTAATTATTTCTAAGTCCGTCGAGCTGTAGTAACGACTGAGAAAATTTAGTTGCGTCATGCTGCCATGCTCTGGTGTATTCGAACCTTTGTCCATTTCCAATGAGGCAATGAAGAAATGACCCAACAGCAGCTAATGAGCGATAGGCCATCCAACGAGAACACAACAAAGAGATTATGCTAGATTTTTACTTTCACACGATTGCAACCGGATGTTAAATGCCTTTAGAGATTCTACGAGGATCGAGCCTCTTACTAAAACGGGTTAAGTCTTGCGATAGAAGTCGGGCGTTCGCTAGAGAAAAGCGGTTTTTATCTGACAGACCAAAAGGAACTTTATCACTCGATTATAGTGTAATGTTTCGCCACTGTGTTCGAAGAAATTTGTTCGTTCATAAATTTTTAAGATTAATGTAAACGTTGGCCTGAAAGTCCCTAACTGATTCTTTAATCACGATTGCGCATATTATTTGTGATCGAGCATCACAAATAATTATAATAGTTCTAATATATCATTTGCTTCCATTTCCATATGATATTAATTTCCTACATTTTAACTAAAATAATTAAATCATCATAAACGAAAGGCAAAAGTATGAAACTCTACAGTCTTGCATAATCCCATAGTGCAATAGATATAAGTGTATTCCAGAATAGGGTGCAATCAACGATGATCATACCGTAGTCACAGTCTTAATTCAAAGGCATAGAACTCCTGAGTGATTTGTGAACGCAATTTCAACGATCAATATTCCTGCCGCGTCTGACGAAATTCACACGTTAGAGAGATTCCACTAATTCTAATAATACGATATATGAGACCACTGAATAAACTCTTGATTTTTTCCTCTTGGCATAATATCATTCTCAAGCAACATTATGCAGTGAAAATTTTTCACGTTACTCCTCTCCCTCTTCGGTGGAAACCCTAATTATTTCATACTAAATGCCTTTTTCCATCCTAGGCGCTGCAGCTGCTC